TGCTTAGATCTAGACCTTAGAAGAATTTTTTCAATTCCAATTTTTTTGGATAGCTTTATTATCATTAGATGAACAATGTTAAAAAAAAAAAATTGATTTTGAGTTTATAAAGGCTAAGATCTTGAAATTCACAAAATGAATGGTCTAGATTGGTTTTTGAAGGGGACCTATTTTGACCATATCTAGGCTTCAAATTGAAATTTCTTTTTTTTTTTCAGGGATTGATTATTGAGATGAAGAGAGTGTGTGTGTAAAATCTGAAGTCATGCAAATATCACAAATATGGTTTTCTAAAAGTGTTGTTGCATTATACTATGGTACAAAGGTTACATTGGATCATTGCTCTATAGATATACGTTACATTAATGGTGTGGTAGTTGTTATTATTGGTGTCAATACAAATGGTCCTGAGTTTTGACATTTTAAATATAGATATATGTTACTTTAATGGTGTGGTAGTTATTCTTATTGGTGACAATACAAATGGTCGTGGGTTCAAAATCCAGAAGTGAAATAAATTTTAAATGCATAGTGACACTCTGTGTCTAGAAACCAGACACATTTTATAAAAGTACCGACACACCTTGTTGCCACAATATCTTTCCTGATAGGGACAAAGTATCGGGCCTGTGTTTGAGCAGGCATGTCAAGTGTTCCAAGTGCCAACATATGTCAATGAGGATAAAAATGGAGTGTCTATGTAATACCAGTGATATAAGTCATTGACGAACTCCTCACCAACGGAAACTAATCAAATTTATGTTTTTGTTCGCAATGTTTCTTAAATATGTGATACTACAGGTGTTTCAAAACCCAGATCTGTGGGGATAGATCGTCCACCTCAGATCGGTGTCGAATCATCAGGTTATCGATCCGAATCTATTTGATTCACTGATCCAAACAAATATATTTTAACTAAAAACAAAAAAAAATTGAGGTTTATGGGGGTAATTTGGGGGACCTAAGCAACTATAAATAATCTTTAAAATAAAAGAAGTAAAAAATAAAGGCAGAAATACCTTTCAAAACCAGTTTAGTACTTCCCAATTCCCTGTTTGGATTGGCCGTTCCCCATTTGGATTTTGAAGGAGCAAATACCAATAAAATGGGTACGGCACGCTCTGAATTGTAATGTACACTTGTTCCTTGGTGCGAAAGAGCTATGTAGGAGGATAATTTAAATACAAAAATTTAGGATCTACATAAAAATTACGAAATAACTTTTCAAATAGAATACATTTAGATTTTGGATTCTTAAACACTTGGTTTGACCATCTAGAAATTCGGCCATCTACATACAAACTTTGACATTTTACTTCAGCCATATATAAAGGAAAAAGTTTATATAAAGTTTGCAACCTTAAAATGTATAATTAAGGATGCACCTCAAAAATCTCTCTGCAAAGGTTGTTTTCATGTTCAAAAACCCTCGAATTGAACATCTCGGCATCGAGACGTATCAATATAAAAAAAAAAATGATTTTGCATCTTAGAAATAGTGCGTCTTACAACACATTATCCGGACCGTCTATTTTCAAGATCTTCATATGTTAATAGATCTACTTGATTTTAACCATTTTTGAAGTTTAAATTTTATAATTAGATATAAAAATAGATTTTCATATAATCCCAATAATTGTTTACACTAAAATTATATGTTTTGATGAAATTTAGAGGTGCGCCTGGATTGTTTAAAGTTGCAACCTTATAGAAAACACACCCCATATAGGATGGAATGCATTTTATCCTATATGGATGTATGCGTACCTATGTATGTATGTATTTTGAAGTTGGCTGGCACATGTAAGAGGTTACATATCCAAAACATTTCTATATTGATTTTACCTGCTACCCTATCTCTCTTCTCTATAACAGAGGATGGAAGATGCCAATAAGGATTCCTCTTTCTTCTCTTAATTGATGAAGATGCAGTTTATCTCTCATGTAGATACTCTTCTGTGTTTTGGAAATGTGGCCTAGTAGGCTTTTTTTTCTTGAGAATTTATTTTTTAATAATGGTACAAAACTCATATTGTGGTATATTATGCAAAATCTCATGTGGTTAACAAGGGATAATGCCATATAATTGGATCTATTGTTTGAGCTTTAATAGGATGTAGCATCAGAGGGAAAACTAAGTGTCATTGGAGGGAAAACCCAGTGGTGTTTTTGAATTCCTTGTAAAAAAAAATTTTCTTATATATATATATATATATATATATATATATA